TTCGGGTGACACCAGCTATCTTCATTTCTTGCTCTGGTGTCACTGGAACAGGAAGTGAAGGGACATTTCTTTAATGGGGACAGAGACTGCAACATAGTTTCTTTTTTTTTAATTTTTGTTGGAAGAGAAAAAGAATAAGATAGATAAGAAAGAGCTAAGACTTTCGCAAGGCTTTTATTGTTCTATGTGTATTGTTTCCAGGTGACACCAGCTATCTTCATTTCTTGCTCTGGTGTCACTGGATTGGAAGTGAAGGGAAATCTCTTTAATAAGGACAGAGACTGCAACATAGTTTCTTTTTTTTTTTTAATAAATTGTTAGAAAATAAAAAGAAGATAGATAAGAAAGAGCTAAGACTTTCACAAGGCTTTCATTATTCTATGTGTATTGTGTCCAGGTGACACCAGCACTCTTCATTTCTTGCTCTGGTGTCACTGGAACAGGAAATGAAGGGAAATCTCTTTAATGGGGACAAACACTGCAACATAGTTTATTTTTTTTTTTTTTTTACATTTTGTTAGAAAATAAAATGAAGAAGATAGACGAGAAACAGCTAAGATTATCACAAGGCTTTCATTGTTCTATGTGTATTGTGTTCAGGTGACACCAGCTATCTTCATTTCTTGCTCTGGTGTCACTGGAACAGGAAATGAAGGGAAATCTCTTTAATGGGGAAAGAGACTGCAACATAGTTTCTTTTTTTCTTTTAATTTTGTTAGAAAATAAAATGAAGAAGATAGACGAGAAACAGCTAAGATTATCACAAGGCTTTCATTGTTCTATGTTTATTGTGTTCAGGTGACACCAGCTATCTTCATTTCTTGCTCTAGTGTCACTGGAACAGGAAATGAATGGAAAACTCCTCAGTGGAGGAACAGGAAGCAATGAAAGCTGATGTTTGAACTCTTTTCCAAACTTAAATTAAACATGTTTGGGCTGTGGTTAGGCTGGGGATACGAGTAGACCTGTGGGGTGAGGATGTTTTTACAATGGGCTTCCTGTTGGACCCCATTGACTGCTCTAATGTGTTTTTTTTTTTTAATTTGCTGATGCGCACCATGTTACAGCATCCCCTTCTCTTTCAGTTATAACATAACAATCCTTAATGGTAAAAAATGTATCTGTGCTATTTCTGGTTGCATCACAACACAAAAAGGGCATCTGAGAATTGTGGTGCAATATGGCACGGGTCTGTTTTTTTTTTTTCCCCACATACACTATATTGCCAAAAGTATTGGGCCGCCGGCCTTTCCACACACATGACCTTTAATGGCCCCCCAGTCTTTGTCTGTAGGGTTCAGTATTGAGTTGGCCCCCGCCCTTTGCAGCTATAACAGCTTCAACTCTTCTGGGAAGGCCGTCCACAAGGTTTAGGGAGAGGGTGTCTATGCACCTGATGTATGGGGACACTGTGATGGGGGACACCTGATGTATGGGGACACTGTGATGGGGGGCACCTGATGTATGGGGACACTGTGATGGGGACCACCTGATGTATGGGGACACTGTGATGGGGGGCATCTGATGTATGGGGACACTGTGATGAGGGCACCTGATGTATGGGGACACTGTGATGGGGGACACCTGATGTATGGGGACACTGTGATGGGGGACGCCTGATGTATGGGGACACTGTGAAGGGGAACACCTGATGTATGGGGACACTGTGATGGGGGACACCTGATGTATGGGGACACTGTGATGGGGGACACCTGATGTATGGGGACACTGTGATGAGGGCACCTGATGTATGGGGACACTGTGATGGGGGACACCTGATGTATGGGGACACTGTGATGGGGGACGCCTGATGTATGGGGACACTGTGATGGGGGACACCTGATGTATGGGGACACTGTGAAGGGAACACCTGATGTATGGGGACACTGTGATGGGGGACACCTGATGTATGGGGACACTGTGATGAGGGCACCTGATGTATGGGGACACTGTGATGGGGGACACCTGATGTATGGGGACACTGTGATGGGGGACGCCTGATGTATGAGGACACTGTGATGGGGGGGGCACCTGATGTATGGGGACACTGTGATGGAGGACACCTGATGTATGGGGACACTGTGATGGGGGACACCTGATGTATGGGGACACTGTGATGGGGGGGACACCTGATGTATGGTCTATGGGAACTGTGATAGGGGGACACCTGATGTATGGGAGCACTGTGATGGGAGACACCTGATGTATGGGGACACTGTGATGGGAGACACCTGATGTATGGGAACACTGTGATGAGGGACACCTGATGTATGGGTACAGTGTGATGGAGGACACCTGATGTATGAGGACACTGTGATGGGGGACACCTGATGTATGGGTACAGTGTGATGGGGGACACCTGATGTATGGGGACACTGTGATGAGGGACACCTGATGTATGGGTACAGTGTGATGGGGGACACCTGATGTATGGGTACAGTGTGATGGGGGACACCTGATGTATGGGTGCAGTGTGATGGGGGGCACCTGATGTACAGTCTATGGGCACTGTGATGGGGGGCACCTGATGTATGGATACACTGTGATGAGGGGCATCTGATGTATGGGGACACTGTGATGGAGGACACCTGATGTATGGGTGCACTGTGATGGGGAACACATGATGTATGGGTACAGTGTGATGGGGGACACCTGATGTATGGGTACAGTGTGATGGGGGACACCTGATGTATGGGTACAGTGTGATGGGGGACACCTGATGTATGGGTACACTGTGATGAGGGGCATCTGATGTACAGTCTATGGGCACTGTAATGGGGACACTGATGCAGGCTGGTAGGGACCCCAGTGCCTTACTTTGCCAAGGGCCCCATGATGCTATTGAGATGGAACTGGTTGCTGGTGCTATCCACCCTCCTTGACTCCCTATATACAGTATATATTACAAGTGAACAATTTGATGATGTATAATATGCTAGCTGAGATCCAATAAAGCAGGTTGCTTTCTAGCTCAGTTTGTCTGACTGAAATCTCTGGCTGAGCCAATGAGAGGAGAGTCACATCTCAGGGAGGGAACAGCTTCTCTGATGACTATGGGCTTCTTTCAGCACAGCTGAGAGGGAAGCGATGCTTCATATGTGAAAAGGAGGCTGTGGCTCCACTTGCTGGCTGCAGAGAAGACTACACCATATTAAAGTGCACTTGTGCCAAGACTACAAACACTAAAATATTTACGTATTCTGAACAGGTGGTAAAAGGGCTTTAACACAAGACCTTGCTGACCTTTTTTTTTGCCGCAGACATTGTGGAAAACTTCAGCTTTAATGTTCACAACAGAGGCACTGAAATCCCTGTCATTAAGATAAAAAAGTGATGGAAAATCCAAATTTTTCCAATTGTTATCAGAACAAGAAGCAGGGGTAAATCTGTCAAAGTGGTTGCCTGTTCTGGTGACAACTGGAGAGCAGAATGTCCTTCACTTAGTAAAGATTTCCTCTCACTTCCTGTTGCGTCTCCTTTTCCTGTACATTAACACATTGCTTTCTCAGATTTTCTGTTTATAGGTCATTTCAAGCTCAATCTCCAGTCTTTCTCAATGACAACCCTCTACCTCCTCCTTCCTGGGTCCTCCTTACCATGGCAGTTGATGTGCGGTCATCTAACACGGGAAAAACACAAGCTCACGATCCGTCCCATGTTCAGCGGCCGCCCTTTCATGGTGGCATGGAATGCGCCCACTCAGAATTGCCAACTCCGCTACAATGTGTCGCTTGACCTTCGACTTTTTGATCTCAACTCAACACCTACTGAGGGTGTTGTGGACCAGGATCTCACCCTCTACTACAAAGAACGTCTGGGGCTCTACCCTTACTACAACCAGTACAATGTTTCCATCAATGGAGGTGCGCCCCAGAATGCCAGTCTTCAGGCTCACCTGGACCAGATGTTGGTCGGGATTGACAAATACATACCGTCAGCTGTTAAAAAAGGGCTGGGGGTCATTGACTGGGAAGAATGGCGACCCCTTTGGGTTCGAAACTGGCAAACGAAGGACATATACAGGCAAGCTTCACGGCAATTGGTGGCTTCTCGATATCCAAACTGGACGGCCGAAATGGTGAACAAGGAAGCTCAGGATGAATTTGAAAAATCAGCCCGCGAGTTCATGCTAGAAACACTGCTATATGCCAAAAAGATTAGACCCCACCAGCTCTGGGGGTATTACCTGTTCCCAGACTGCCACAACTATGACTACCTGACCAACTGGAGTAATTATACTGGCAAGTGCCCCAATGTGGAGATGTCACGTAATGACCTATTATTGTTTCTATGGAAGGAGAGTACGGCCTTGTATCCATCCATCTATCTAGACTTCGTTCTTAGTTCTTCTGTGAATGGTCGCAAATTTGTCCGCCACAGAGTAAAAGAGGCCATGAGGGTCGCACCACAACACACCAACTACTCTCTACCCGTCTTCGTGTACACAAGACCCACCTACACAGAAAACAACAACCCTCTTTCCCAGGTAAGATGACACAATGAGCAATGTGCACCAGCAGAAAGGTCCCTCCTGCTCTGCCAATGGTGACAACCACCTACACAAAGGAGCAGGATGATATTATAAGGGTTCAGTTAAGCAAAACTATGGGGGATCTGGCAACTTACCCAACCCAGTAATTTTCCCAGCAATAAAGAGCTAGAATGAACACCCTTTTATCCCGTCTCAGTGCTGTTGATCTCCTGAATCCTCTTATGGCCACTTCCTGTCTTCATGCCCTCTATCTAGTATTGTCTGGATGTCATTACACAGGACTGGCTTCCTGATAGTAACAATGGTGGACAATGTGTGTTGGAACAGGCAATGGTACTCTCTGCCAGAGGGGCATGTGATAAGGTGGCAACTCAAGAGCAAAATTAGGAGACAGTTCTTACCCCACAACACAGCCATTCTGTATCAGGGGTTCATTAGAACCCTAAGGTTCCTCCAGAGGTTGACAGAGGTTCTCTGAGCTCTGGGTGATTGTCCTTCCCTTTTGATAATGCCTGCATACTGTAGTTCCACCAATTATCATTTTAGCTCTTTTATAAGGTGAGCATTTTGACCATCAATGTAAGGGGCATTCTTCCCACTCACCACCAATGTAAGCAGGCATTTTTGTACTGGCCACCCATATAAAGGGTATTTTCTCCCTGACTATGAATGTAAGGAGCGTTCTTCCCACTAACCACTAATGTAAGTGACATTCTTCCCACTGACCCCCAATGTAAGGGACATTCTTCCCACTGACCCCCAATGTAAGGGGTATTTTTGCTACTGATCACTAATGTAAGGGACATTCTTCCCACTGACCACCAATGTAAGGGGTATTTTTGCTACTGATCACCAATGTAAGGGACATTCTTCCCACTGACCCCCCAATGTAAGGGGTATTTTTGCTACTGATCACCAATGTAAGGGACATTCTTCCCACTGACCCCCAATGTAAGGGGTATTTTTGCTACTGATCACCAATGTAAGGATAATTCTTCCCACTGACCACCAATGTAAGGAGCATTTTTCCCATTGACCTCCAATGTAAGGAACATTCTTCCCACTGACCACCAATGTAAGGAACATTCTTCCCACTGACCACCAATGTAAGGGACATTCTTCCCACTGATCACCAATGTAAGGGACATTCTTCCCGCTGACCACCAATGTAAGGAGCATTCTTCCCACTGACCACCAATATAAGGATCAATTTCCCCATTTTCTCCCAATGAATTACTTTTAGTAATGGTTCCCCAAGACCTGAAAATTATTTTAGGGGTTCCTTTGGGGAAAAAAGGTTTGAGAAAGGCTACCATAACAGGAACTGCCTCAACAAGAACCTCTATGGCAGGATCACCAGGGATTGCTTTAACAAAAGCTGCCAATTTCAAAAAATTGAAAATAACCTACTAAATGAACATGTTAAAGTTTCTATGAGATTTTAGTGATTGGGCTTACATCTACCTTAACTCTCCAACATCTATCGAACAGTACAATGTCATGGTTCGCTGGTGGGACCCTTTAATTTGATGAATCTATGCCCTCTTCTTGAGAGTGTACCGATGAGTTAGGGCCCATTTACACCTATGAAGGCACATTGTGGGGTGTTTAGTAACCTCAATACATAGATGTGAATGGGCCCTTACTCCTTCCTTGACCGTTTCTCCAGGTTTCCATTATATGGTGGCATTTTTTTTAGACAAAGGACCGGTTTCACCACATTTTGGGGACAGGCTGGATATTTCTAGGTGATCTATTTGGTTTAAGATTTCAATATTCTAATAAATAATTTTGTTTTTTCTACTTTTAGATGGATCTCATCTCCACCGTCGGAGAGAGTGCGGCACAGGGGGCGGCTGGGGTGATATTTTGGGGTGGTGCAGAATACTCCAAGAACAAGGTGGGTGTATGAAGACCCATATTGTGTGTTCTGGTCCAGAGTCCCATCCTTTGTCCAAGCCAGTTATCTCTTTCCTGTACTTATTCTTGTTACTTAAAGGAAACCTATCCTGACAGAAATGAATAGACTTCCATTTATGATTCCCACCAGCTGTTTTTTACACATTGATGCCACCTTTAACATGGACAACTGGCAGCTTTCCAAGCTATTTTCAATAAGCAATTATGCAGCCAGTGAAAGTGGAACCCCTGATGTGCATACCAGGGGTGGACTCACAACTCATGGGCCCCCGGGCAATAGGGTATCATGGGGCACCTGTGTCCTCGCCCAAACTCAAACCACACCTAAAAAAGCCTATGAAAGGTACCAGGGACATCTCATGGGACCCCCTATTGACCCTGGGCCCTCAGGCAGTGCCCGAGTACCCAAATGGTCAGTCCTCCCCTGATGCATACTTATTCTGGGCCATAGAGTCAGAAACTGCTGCGTCAGTAGGCATTAGATCCTCTTACATATTACATTTGTAGGACTGGGAGGTGGTGGGCCTTCATGGTTATTTGGGAAGCCTGGGCCTCCGATCCCCTCTACAAGGGGAAATGTTGTCACCTAAGAAAAGTTTGAGGCAATGGGTTCCCCCAAGAGCCAGAGTTGAAGCACGGTCTTTACAGCCTGCCCTAGGGTTCCTACATGACCCCATCCTGAACTGGGCAGTTTGGCTTCTTTCAATGTTTTTATTACAAGTTAACATGTGAATAGGTACCAGTACAGCCAGAAGCCCTTGATGACCGTGACAAGTGGAGATCACAACGCAGGCGAGACACAGAGAAAAGAGAAAAATGGCATACATTAACAACATGTATGGTAGATGCAACAAACCCAAATATCCCAATCCACCCTCAAAAGGGGAATACTAGAGAAAATCAAAAACGGGAACAAAAGGATGTAAATGCTGACTCTGCGGGAGCAGCCCAAACGGACCAGAACCTGAAATCTGCTCCACTTTTGTATTAGTAGATAACAGGCACAAGAAGAACAAGGTGCAACACAACTTGTCTTTATGTCATAAAAGGACATTAATCCTTCCAAGGCCGAAATGTGGAGAGAAGAGCAGGAGAGAGGAAAAGGGAGCAAGAGAGGAAGAGCAAAGACAGAGACAAGATCCACCCACGAGACAGGAATGTCCATCCTAGCAGAGAGAAAGGATTTGTTATTAGGACGTAGTCTGTAGGTACCTAATCTATGGGCTCCAGACTCGCTCAAACCTGGTAGAGGTGTCACGTTGGATGCTGACCATTCTCTCAGTGATCACGATCCACGAGAGTTTACGTTTCATCAATGTAAAGTCCACCACTGGACTCTCCAGGCAGTTGCAATTGCAATCAGGGCCAGGACAAGCGGTGGGCAGGAGGAACGGGGCTGCCCTGGGTACTGTGGTACCATGTGAGGTCGGGGGGAGGGGGGGGGGGCATCATGAGAAGATTGGGGGGGAAGTGTTTGGGAGGGGAAATTTGGGGGGCAGCAATAGGTAAGAAATGTTCTAGAAGGGCAAATTTGAGAAGGTGTGCTAGGAGTAGTGATTTTTAGGGATTTGTTTTGGGAGGGGGAAGATGATTTGTTCTAGTAGGGGGGGTATTTGGGGGGGTTTGTGCTTGAAAAGGCGATATGGTGGGGCGGGGGGAGTGATAGAAGGAAAAAATGTTTTTTTGGGGGGGAGTAGTAGGCCTAGAAGGATGATGGGGGTGGGGTATTTGTGTTCAGAGGGGACATTTGGGGGGAGTTTTGTGCTAGGATGGAAGATTGGGGAAGGGGAATTTATGCTGGAGTGGGGGGAGGATTTGTGCCCAAGGATTTGGAGGAAATTTGGGGGTTAGTGAATTTGTGCTAGGAGGGGGACATTTTTTTGGGGGTGGGGAATTTGTGCTGGTGGCATATGGGGAGAGAGAGGATTTGAGCTGGGGGAGGGGATGGGGGGGGGGGGCAAAGATTTGTGCTGGGAAAGGGATTTCAGCAGGGGGGTTAGGGGGTAAGCATCCAACTTAGTGCTTGGTTTTCTTTATTTGTGGGGGGGGGGGGGATTTTGCTGACTCATAATGCTCAAACATCTTGGGGGAGGGAGCATGTTTGCCCTGGGCTCTAGGTGACCTTGTCCCGGCACTGATTGCAATTTTGGCTACCAGGAACATAAAACAGACTAGGTTCTGAGGGGATCTGGAGACTCAGCTTTGGGTTCACTAAGCAGTGCAGGTCTGGGGGGGGGTTGTATTAGTCATGGTCACAGTGAAGGTCAGGCAATGAACTCGTATCCAGTACCTTCTAACTTTAGGGGACGTCCACTATATGGAACATTGTTCCCACTTACCCCCATCCCCGGAGACCAAGCGAGGAGGAGCCAGGCTACATTCTCAAAAACAGTTTGGCTTTTTTAACTATGGAACAGTCAGGGGGGACTAAAAACTCATGGGGTCCCCGGGCAATAGGGGATCATGGGGCCCCTGTGTCCTTGCCCAAACTCAAAAAAGCCTATGAAAAAGGTACCAGGGGCATCTCATGGGGCCCCCTACTGACCCCGGGCCCTCGGGCAGTGCCCCAGTTTCCAAATGGTCAGTACGCCCCGGGAACAGTTCTTTCATTTTATTAAATCTTTAAAAGTCATAAAAGTTAAAATCCTTTAAAACGCTTTAATTTTCAGAATCCAGTTCTGGTTTTGGAGCACCATTTTTCTAAAGCCCCAACAGGGACGGGCAGCCTGTTTTGATGCAGCCCATATCGAAAGATTGGTTACGGTGAAGACAATGGCACCTGGGGATTTGATTGGAGCAGTTGTTGAGTTTTTAACCATATAACAGGCTCCTCCAGACCGTCACCCCACCAACCAATCAGGTCCCTTGGCTCTGGTACACCTTCAGTGTTGTGTAACCTTCTGTACTATAATGGTATGGTCCATGCCTTCCCTGTTTCTCCCCCTCAGCAGGTGTTGGTATGTTCCATTTAGTGTGTTTGATAGCTGAGTATAGAAGAAAGCATGTCATCAGAAGGAGGCCAATGTGGTCATTAATTGGGATAGCCATTTATTTATTTCAGGTACGTATATAGCAAAGTCAATTTACGTCGCACTTTACATATATATTGTACATTCACATCAGTCCCTAACCCTCAAGGGGCGTACAATCTAAGGTCCCTAACCCCAAGGGGTGTACAGTCTCAAGGGGTACGGTACCCTCAATCTAAGGTCCCTAACCCTCAAGGGGCGTACAATCTAAAGTCCCTAACTCACATTCATACATACACATACTAGGGACAATTTAGGCAGGATCCAATTAACCTACCAGCATGTCTTTGGAGTGTGGGAGGAAACCGGAGTACCCGGAGGAAAGCAGGTACAGGGAGAACATGTAAACTCCAGGCAGGTGGTCTGAGATTTGAACCAACAACCCGAGTACTGCCAGGCGGAAATACTAACCATTTAGCCTCTGTGCTGCCCATTAACTCTTATAGTGCTGGCTGTTAAGTTTCTAGAAAATAAGGCGTATTATTAAAAATACTCACATCTTTGCTGTTCTATTCTCTCATTTTATTTTCTATTTATTTTATTCTATTCTGCTGTATTCTATTCCTTTATTTCCTATTATATTCTGTTTTATTCTATTCTATTCTTTTCTATTCTATTCCATTCTATGTTTTTTCTATTTTATTCTGTTCTGTTCTATTCTATTCTTTAAAGCAGACTTACTGCATTTGCTACATGATGTTTCCATTTCAAAATCAAATTCCTTTTTTAAATTCGAATAATTCATTTTGTTAAAATGTATTTCGGAATTATTGCAATTCGACACTATTGTGATTCGGAAATTCGGATAAATCCAGATCTCCGAATAAAGCAAACTTCATCTGATTCATATCAAAACAAATGTTGAAACACACCATGTCTAGTGGGGGGGGGGGGGTGGTGGTACTGGAAGTCATACTAAGGGCAGGGGGGTATTTACCACAAGGCAAACAAGGCACTTGCCTAGGGAGGCATTTTTTCAGGGGGGGGGGAGGCATTTTTCAGGGGGGGGGGGCAGCACCTCCCCCCAGAAGAAGGGAGGAGAGAAGGGACACCATGGGAACCAGGTGGGATCCGAGAGAGGCTGCCGGCTGTATGTAGAGCCTGGCTCTCGTCCACAGGGATGTCCGGAGCTGTGAAGATGAGTGTCTCTCTATCGCCAGAAGGTGGGGGTAGTAGAAGGCTCTCCCGGGTGGGAGGCAGGGGTGTTGTTGGTCAATGTCATTCTCTCTCCGTGGAAGGGGGAGTTGT